TGATGCTTGCTACAGATATTATAAGTTAATTAGGTATAACCACAGACATATAGTACTGTAACAAAGAGCAGAATTCTGTATCAATAGAGGGCAAAGATAAAAAGCTGAATATTAAACATAAAACACCTGATACTGTAATGAGAATTATTTTTAAAGTTTTAGAATCTGATGTTTTGAAACAGTCTATCATTATTCCATTTGAAAATTATTTTGTCATTATCACCCTTTCTAGAGAGGAGAGTTAGATAATAATCTAACATTATAATCTAAAATTAGTCAAATTCTCCATGAACAATTAATTAAAAACTCAGTATGCAAATAATTATCTCTTTAGAATTATATTTGCAAGTAGACATTCATTTGACGATTATCCTAAGCAGCTTCACTTATAAAACTTCCTGAAATAAACTTCAGAATTCCAGATAACCTTCCTTAAAACAGCTGTGTCAAAGTGACATAAATAAATAAAACCACTGACAAGTGAAATGATCTGACATTTTGTGATTAAACTCTGCACAATGGCATTAATCAGAACAAAGCTGTTTGATGTTATGTTACAACAAAAATGTATGTGAAAGTGTCTCTGTGGGATTTGATCTTTGATCTTTCGGTGAATCATATTTAGAAGCCAAAGGCATTTTACTAATGAGAAAAGTCTGCACGATAGAACCTTCCTGAAATAAAAACAGTAGGAAGACTGTCTTCTTCCTTGCACTGCTGTCACCTCAGAAGCTGGTAAGTTGGCTTTCTGACATGTCCGGGCAGGTTGTTTTCCGCCTCTGATACTTGAGTTATCTCCATCTCTTTTATCACACCCAGGTCCTTGGTAAACTATGGAGCCAACTGGGTTGTAACTAAACAAGTTGAGCTGTGAATTATCAATGTTATCTGGCTCATTTTTTTATATATTACAGCAGAGCACAGATAGAATAACATTATCAGAACTGGAATCATTCTGGAATCAAAAGCTTTTTATTAAGATAGCACATACTTTAAAAATGATTCAAAAGTGATTTTACAAAAAAAAAATTCAAATTCATACTTTGAATTCAGAAGCCTGAAAAAGTCAAGCAGTATTAATTATTGCAGAGAGGTGCTATATTCTCAATCATATAAAAACTGTGAACTTCACTGAAATATATCCCTCTGATGAAAACATTTAACATTATTATTTCTGAACATGTTTGCTCTTAAAATATCCAAAGGAGAACCCTATTTTGTAATTCCCACATTATTTAATCACCTGTTGACATCTAGTGGCTAAAAAAAGAAAAGAAATTAAGTTGATTTTGCCAGTTTTTGCTTGGCACATTTGCAAAATCTCTGACTTGTTTACCATAATTTGCTGAATAAGCCAAAGATTTAACATTGCCCTAAGCTATTGTTTCCCCAAGAATGGGTCACAATTCAAAGGAGTTTGTGAGATACAGGATGAAAGTCACCACCTTAGAGAAACTTTAGGAGCAGGAATTGTGATGGACGAAGAAAAGAAAAGAAAAGAAAAAAGAAAAGAAAAGAAAAGAAAAGAAGGTAGGAAAGACAACAGTAACAGTAACTACAATCTGGGATTGCAATTTTCAAGCTCCATTATTTTAAGACAGAAAAAAAAACTGATTTAAAACAGAATCTAGCTGTCTTCAAAATGAAATGCACATCTCAGGAATGAAGCAAAAGTTAAGCAATTTCCATTAAAGTAGAGTTTTGGGATTTTTTTCTAATGAAAATGTTTTATTTCATTTATCCAATTCTGTTACTATTGAGTATACAGATAACTATTTATAGCAATATAGCAATAGCAGTAGACTTATATACCGCTTCATAGGCCTTTCAGGCCTCTCTAAGCGGTTTACAGAGAGTCAGCATATTGCNCTCTCTCTCTCTCTCTCTCTCTCTCTCTCTCTCTCTCTCTCTCTCCCACACACACACACACACACTCTATATAAGATTTCCTGCTATTGCAAAATCTTGGGGTACTGAATCATTGAAGGTTGTGCTTTGAGACTAAAAGATGTTCCAATATCATTTAATATCATTTATTTTTCTAGTAGAAGTAACCATTAGCCTAGTTATGTCAGTGTTATTTTAACATAAAACAAATCCTTTCCTGAATTTGATTGTTTTAACATTCATGCTGAGAGGTTTTGCATTATTGTGGTTGCTGGGTGTTCTTGTATAGGATTTTTCTGTTTCATAAACAATATTGGGATCTTCAGAAAAGAACAATTGACAACCAAACCAGGAGATTCTAAAACAAAAAGTAGATTAATGGATATTTTACCACTAAATACTCTGAAATAAAGTGCCTCCATCTTTTCAGTTGGTATGCTTACACAAAGTATGTAATCTGATTTAATGCTTTGACAAATAAAAAACTATATTTCAAAATGTCTTATTTTCTTCCACTGTATTTTCAAAAACTGTTCTTTAACTTTACACCTGCACAGAATACACAATAGTGTTTCGAAATCCATTTCAGTTCTCAGATAGATCAACTTGGCTGATCAAATCAGGGCTCCCTGCTGGATTTCAAAGGTGCCATCAGCTGCAACAGATTTTTGTGGGCTCTGGAAACAGATTTATGGAGAGGACTATATATTTTTTTTAATTCTTCTATTACATTTAAATATGTCGATTGCAACGAACATGGTAGTCAGAGACCAGCCGGCTGGAACTGACCTCTGGGCAAACGGAAACTCAACGAGGAGAGCAGGACAATGAAAAGAAAACCTCATGATCAGAAGAACCCCATGGATATCATAGTAGTGATATGCAGGCAGTTCTCGACTTACAACTGTTCACTTAGGGACCGTTCAAAGTTTCAACGGCAGTTGCAAAAGTGACATGACCATTCTTCACACCACCCTTCCAGTAGAATCCTCATGGTCAGAATTTAGACCCTTGGCAACGGACTCCTATTTACGACGGTTGCAGTATCCCAGGGTCGTGTGGTCCCAGAATAGAATAGAATGCAGACTAGAATATAAATAGGGGGATTCTGTCATATTCTTAGTTATCATTTTTGTTTTGTCCTTATTAATCTTTAGTCCTGCCACTTCACCATATTCTACTAATTTTTGAATTAGTTCCAAACTAGATTCTAATGGGTCCTCTAAGGCAAATACTAAGTCATTGGCATAGGCTTGGACTTTAGATTCTTCATTTTTAAGTCTTAAACCTTTTATTCCCTGGTCATTCTGAATTTCATTTAATAAAGTTTCCAAGGTCACTATAAATAGCAGAGGAGAGAGGGGGCATCCCTGTCTGACTCCTTTTTTTATTTCAATCTTTTCTGTTAGATTCTCCGTTCATCAGAACTTTGGCTGTCTGGGTACTATAAAATCTTTCTATCATTTTTGTAAATTTTTCTCCGAATTTCATCTCATCCAATAGTATTGTTATAAATTTCCAAATTACGTTATCGAATGCTTTTTGTGCATCAAGGAAAACCAGTACCATTTGCTTTTCTGGATGGG